CTATCAACAAACTAAGATTTTGAAACTTTTTTTGAAAACCGGAAACAGACCCAAAAATGAGGAAATGGACCCCAAAAAATGAGGAAACCAATCAACAAACTGAGAGTTCAAAACTTTTTTTGAAAATCGGAAACAAACCCAAAAAATTAGGAAACAGACCCAAAAAATTAGGAAACAGACCCAAAAAAATAGGAATTGGACCCAAAAAAAAGAGGAAACTGATCAACAAACTGAGAATTTGAAACTTTTTTGAAAACCGGAAACGGACCCAAAAAAAGAGGAAACGGCCCTAGAAACCAGAGGACGTCCTAAGGTCGTCATGGGGATGTCAATAATACCAGTGCGACGTCCGGTGACGTCATATTTTAGATGTTGAGGACGTGTTGGGATGTCTGGATCCAGGAATACCATTGAGCAATCACTAGAGGTCTAGAATATCACAGACCTTCTGATGACTTAAAGATAACCAAGCTATATGCCTCCAGGAGTAGATCAAGGTCAAGAATTATCAGTCTTTCAGCATTTTAAGTATTTTGGATATTCCACCATTATTATAAATTTAGATAAATTTATATTTGTGCAACTATAATTTTCTCATGTTGCACGCTTTCTGCATCATAGAAGAAGCTTCCAGTAGAACATTGTACAAAAAATGATTTTTATGTGCATATATTTACATTTTTGTTTTGTTTTTAAAATGGAAAATTTATTTTCTTGCTTTATTTGAACAACCTCAAACAAGCAAGAATAAAAAAATCATTGCTAACAAAAATATTGTCTTGCATTGGAGTTTCATAAATAATTATTTTTTTCTTTTTCTAGGTTTTTACATATCCTAGATTACACCTTCTGAGAATCTTGGCATCAGCAGGAAGTGCAGTGCAGTCCCCATATTCATGTGTGTGATACATGGTGGGAGTATATGGTGTCATAACTTCATGACGTTCTGTTATAGGATTCCATAAGAAGATGTTCAGTGTAGACGCTCCATTAATGCTAGTGGTTCCCGCCATCTAAAATCATTAAGTTTTGATTAAATGAAAAGATTTATAAAGTGTCTTCACAATTAAAATTAGTTTTAGCATTTGATTACCTCAACACTTTCATATGGGGTTAGAGAAACAATTCTTGTATCCATTGAGTCATATGCAGCAGTTGGTCCTCTCACCCATGTCACTAAACTATTTGTTTCAAAAGCTGTCAAATCTAAATATTGAATTGTATTGGATCCCCCTCCAATTACTGTTATCATTCTGTTTCCAGTTGTTCTTCGTCTGATGATATTGCAACCTATATTAAATCTTGAGTCAAGAAGTTTTGGCATTGAGCTCCATTGATTTTTAGACACTGAGTAAGCATACACTTGATTTGTAACGTGAGAACTCATTTTACCAAATTTTCCCCCAATGCCAAATATCTGGTCATATCCATGATCTGCTACAGCACACAATCTTGTGACAGCAATTGGGTAAGAGGCCATGGTTTCCCATCCCTTAGATTTGGTCCACCTATCTACTTGTGAAATCCAGCTTGAGGTTGTACTAATACCACCAATCGCAAATGCAGCATCACCAAATGTAACAAATCCAAAATTTCTTCGAATTATGGGCATACTGGCCATGCTATACCATCCAGGGTTGTCTTCATTTGTATTAAGAATAAAACAGCTACTAGTTTCAGTTCCAGTAATTTTTCCACCACAAACAATTAGATCATAATTAACAGCTGTCACTCTGTGTCCAGTTCTTCCAGTGAGACTTGGGATTTGAAAGCAAGTTCCTGGCAAGTGAGGTTCACCAGATCTTTTTCTATTTCGCTGAAGAATAGACCAATATTTAGAATATTCTGTACCATTCAGGCCCCCCCAACATACTGCAGCATACTCTCTAATAGAGATGCAGTTCTGCAAAGCTTTGTAATTATTTGATTTTTTAACAGTTGTCCAGTCTGAGTTATGCATTTCATTCTGGAGATAATAATAATTGTCTTCAAAATTTGTTGTATCTTGATTGAACTCAAATATGTTCTTAAGACTGTTTCCATATCTACCAGAATTTCCTCCCACAATAAAAGCATTATATGGGGTGAGAGTTATCATTCTCATAAATCTTTGATTTAAATTATCGAACAAGGTTGCTGCCAAATTCCATCCCAAGTTGTTTGTTAGGTCAAAATATATTACTGCATCTGCTAATCCACCTCTTACAACCAGAAGCATTTTTTCTTTTGTTCTTCGATAAACAATTCCGCAAGCAGAGTCTATCACAGTTTGCCTTCTAAAGAGATCACTATGAAATGTCCAAACATTGGTGGAAACTGTAAAGTAGTAAACTCCCATTTTGTCTCCAACCCCTATTTCACTACCTCCAATCATCCAGATCTTGTCATCTTCTTCATCAGCAACAGCACAGAAACGATGATTTGAATATGGTAAATTTGCTTTTTTAATCCAAACATTTAATTTCTGGTTCAATCTATGTAAAGTATTTATACTTGCACTACCACCTTTCCAAAAATCTTGTCCTCCAATTACAAAAATAGAACTTTTAAAAGACAGCATTTGAAAATGTCTTCGCCTCTGGGGTAAGTTTGGAGCTTCTATCCATGATCCATCATTTGAATATAAATCAAACTTTTTACAGTCAATCAATGGAGTAGGAGCTCCATCATAACTTCCACCACAAATGTAAAGCCATCCATCTATTTCTGCTATTCCTGGACTATATCTTCCTTTAATGATATCAATGGAATGATGAGAACAAGTATATTTCTGTGATGTAAAGACTGAGAGCTGACTTGGGTAGTTTCTGGCACTGGTTGTATATCCTCCAAACCCAATTGCAATCTTTTCATCAGGGAGATCTTGACAAAAGTAACTTCCTACTGTGTTAACACAGAGTTGTTCTATTTTATCTTCCTTCATATTTCTCCAATAGGCAGTTTCATCCAAACCCGTATTTGCAGCGCCAATGTCATTGATTATTATTGGCATTGCATCTGGATTGATGGCTTCAATTAGACTATTTCTATTTCTATCCAGAAGAGATATGGTGGTCTGTTTTTCTGCACTATTATAATATACATCCAAGAAGTAAAGATTGAATTTATTTGAGGACATTTCTAAATTTTGAGATGCACTGGATAAAAAATTACATGCACCTGGGCAGTAATATATTTGAACTTTGTTAGGGTTGAGTAAAACATAATAATGTGGAACTGATTTATCAAATCCAACATAAAACCTTGCTGACCCTGGAGCTGCCACTTCAAATTTATATGTGTGATGAAGTTCATCTGCAGTGTCTACCTCTTCCACATCAAAGTACTTGATACCATTTCGTCCAAATGTGTCAATATTGTATCCTTGGAAATTATCACAATCATTCATGTCAGCATTTATACATTCATCAATATCATAGCAATAAGAAGTAGGTGAACCAGTAAACCCAACCTTACAAGTGCATACAGCATGCCCTGGAAAGTTCCAACAGTTTGTATTTGGACCACATCCTGCTGTTCCGTTTGCACATTCATCTATATCAATGCATCCGCTGTGATCCACAAAATCATAAAACCCTGTTTTACAAGTACAAGTGAAGCTTCCAATGGTATTTGTGCAGATTGTGTTCTGTCCACAATATGCCAGTCCTTCAAAATGTCTATTGTTTGGTAAACATTCATTTAATTCTGAACAATATGGTTGCGCAGCAGATTTAACACAATAATAACCAGGTAAACAATCTTCATCATCCTCGCATCCAACCTCATCTTGACCACACAGGTGATACCGTTTGTTGCATGGTTTGTAGCAGCAGTTGTCTGCTATAGTAAACCCAAAAGTTTCAGAGTTTCTTACAAAAATGTGACGCGGGAAATAGTCTGTGTTCAAGCAAGAATTATCTCCACACTTCAAAATTCCTTTCTCTCCATTCTGACAGTCTGCATCTACATCACAATGACCCCCTCCTTCCTTGCATGGGTGTTCTGGAGTACAGCGCTTTTCACAACAGTCATCTTCTTCATCCCATCTTCCACCAGGAGGTCTCCATTTCATGCAATTGTTCTTTCCACACATGAGAACTCCTCCACAGTCATTGTCAGTATTACAATCTCCTTCTCCAATCCCGCATAGATTCAGCTTTCCTCTATTGCAACAATGCTCTCCACCTCGGCAAATCTTGTCAATGTATGTTGGAGCTTCAAAATCAACCATGATCTGTTTTTCTACCTGACCAACATCTGGGTCTTCCAGGAAAGTGAGATAGGCAAGATCACACACCTTGGAGGTTTCATCATAGCTAAAACAGTTAATTGTCATCATCATGATTTTCATAACTCCTGGATAAAAAATATCAAATGAAAAAAACTGACCTAAATGCATTACAAAATGCTCCTTTTATTTTTTGTAAGTGTGCACAATAGATCCCACATTGCGATTTTGAACGAACCAATCCACTTTCTGTTAGATGAGAGTAGAAAGTAGTCTCAGACACATTATTGGTACTGGTGAAAATATATGCAAACACTAAACAATGATCAAACTAATTTGCAAAATTTGTACAAGGTTAAAGGGATTTAATGGAACAATGAAAGGGGATATAGAATGAAACCTGAGAATCTCAGGCATTGAATGATACATATAAAACATCTATCTGATGTTCCTGTCCAAGAAAATTTATATAAAACCATGTCAAATTTATACAAAAATTAATAGATATGCAATTTTGTATAAAAGTTGTAGTATTAAATAGATCATATTCAACAAATACGCAACCAATCTGAAAACGACGATATCCCACAGGAGCCTGATAATCTCAGGTTTGTTTCCGTTATAATTTAAAAATTTTTATTTGCATTTTCATAGATATAATTGATATTATAGTAAATATAGTCTGCATAGTCTGTATAACATCACAAGAACTTCAGCCAATGGCAGTGCAGTATACTTGTCACATGATTTCCATTTTTATCACTGCCCTGCCACTGAAGTTCTGGTGACCTTGCGGACTAAATCTTATTGTATTATCAATTATATCTATCAAAAATGCAAAATAAAAATTAAAAAATTATAATAGGAACAAACCTGAGATTTTCAGGCTCCTGTGGGATATGATTTTTTTCAGATTGGTTTCATATTTGTTGAATATGATCTGTTTAATACTACAACTTTTATACAAAATTGCATATCTATGAATTTGCGTATAGACTTGACACAGTTTTATATCAATTTCACGAGACAGGAACATCAGATATATGTTTTGTATGTATCATTTCACGCCTGAGATTCTCAGGTTTCATCCTATACCCCCTTTAATTTTTTGTAAGCACAATTGTATGTAACCCTTCATGTAAAAATCACATTGCCTGATTCACAATGTTACCCTGGAAACAATTATCTTATCAATGATCTGAAAGATACAGGGTGTCCCACGAAACATGACAATAGCAAGACCACTTGAAAGTCGTCTTTGATATTTGAATTTATTTGTGACATTTAGTCTTCTATCTACTTTAACATGTATGATTCTTGAAACAATTATCACATAATTCTCCTAGCTCTGGCATTTCCAAAAAGTGGTCTGCGTTTTTTGTGCTTTCAATATTACCGGAGATATAAAGAGTTTGGTTCAGATTTCAATTTTGTTAAATAAAAGCAAAATTGTCGAAATCTGAACGAAATTGTTCATATCTCGGGCAATATTGAAAGCACAAAAAATGCAGACCACATTTTGGAAATGGCAGGACAAGGGGAATTTTGTGCTTATTATCTCTAGAAATTTACTTCTAAAATTAGGTTGACAACTAAATGCAGAAAATTATATCAAAAATCAAGACGACATTCAAGTTGTCTTGCATACTGTCATGTTTCGTGGGACACCCTGTACTTTAAAAGGTTTTTTTTCTGGATAATTCAGATATGACTTCATGACATCTTAATCATACTTGAACAGACAAAGCTGTAATGGTGTACTGTTGTAAATCAGGCATTGTCATCTTTGCATGGAGGGTCACTTCAAATTACATTAGCAGTCCCTTCAAGGCATAAAGTTCTTCTAAATAATTATTTCTAGTTGCATATATCCTATCCTCATAAATAACATCTGAGCCCCCAGTGGCCTCCCAAGTAAGCTGACTGTAATAAGAAACTGTACACTGAAACACAAAATAGGGATATATTTAATGTTTATCTCTTTTTGTGCGATAAAAAACACATTTAGTAATTATTGTTGTCATGTGACATGTAATTTATATTGCTGTCTTTGAAGTTTTATTCTTTCGGTTTATCCAAAGAGAATAGAAAATATATTAGAGGGAAATTTAAAGAATCTCTCGGTATGAATTTTTTCACTCCCTTTCAGCCTGAAAAGGAGTTCAAAGTGTACAAATCATGTTAATGTTCACAAATTACATGCAGTAGAGTACATTAATACAGTATGTTCACTAGACTATCCATTTCAATTTCGAATTTTTTAAAGCTTATAAATAAACTTTATAATGATTTTGGTGAATAAAAAACATCATTTTATTTATAGTTATAACGGAAAATCATCGTTTGTAAAGTGAAAGGCATAGAGTCTATGTGAAATGATCATTGGTCAATTATGAAACCAGCCTATTTCATAATTTGGTTTTCTTTTAATATTAATTTTAGATTTTCTATAAAATGATATTCCAGGGAAGGGAAGTACACCTGCAGTATGGAAACAGTACAACAAAATGGCCGTTTTACACTTTTTTCTAGTAAATTCCCCTCTAATATATATTCTATTCTCTTTGGGTTTATCTCTCTTGTTGACTAAAAAATACTGCTCTGCAGACCACAAAGGAACTGATTACTACAGAAGTAGAGAGATCTGGAGGGAAAAACAAGACAGTACACAATATAAATCCTCCAGTTCTATTGAGATTAGTATAAGAGAATTCCTCTGCTTTTGTTTCCTGTGTATGTTTTTCCTATTCTTTTTTTAAATGGAGTACATGCTTACCAATGGGTATTCATTCTGCTCCTGTCATAAAGGATCATCAGATAAGTATGTCCAGCTCCACCTGTCTGTATTAAAGGGAGTGTTTGCGAAAAAGTAAAGGGGGTGTAGGATAAACTCGAATTGAATATGGAAGCTAACGGTATACAAAAATACCAGTTTGAAATTGATTGAATGAAAAATGATTTAATATACATTATACCGAAAAGATGATCTCACTGGATTGATAAATGTTTCTAAGGAGGAAAGAAGATTGATACCATTCATTTCAATATTGAATTCCAGTTTAGGCTATAAACCCTTAGAGTTTTCGTAAACACTTTATGTTACCTCTAGGGTATCCCATGGGTTCCCTCAAAAAATTTCAGCCAATTTTGTCCAGCCGTTTGGCCAGCTACAGCAAACATATATATGTAGCAAATACTCCAAAACAATTTACTCAAGATGTATCTATCCAGGTATAATTGTTAACAAGATTAACCAGGACTAACTCTCCGGTTCTAAATTCCACAGAGGCAATATCTCAACCAGGCTTAACTCCCCAGTTCTAAAGGACACACAGTTCAAATCTCAACCAGGCTTAACTCCCCAGTTCTAATGGACACACAGTCCAAATCTCAACCAGGCTTAACTCCCCAGTTCTAAAGGACATACAGTCCAAATCTCAACCAGGCTTAACTCCCCAGTTCTAGAGGACTACCTGTCCAAATCTCAACCAGGCTTAACTCCCTAGTTCTAGAGGACACACAGTTCAAATCTCGACCAGGCTTAACTCCCCAGTTCTAAAGGACATACAGTCCAAATCTCCACCATGCTTAACTCCCCAGTTCTAATGGACACGCAGTCCAAATCTCCACCATGCTTAACTCCCCAGTTCTAATGGACACACAGTCCAAATCTCCACCAGGCTTAACTCCCCAGTTCTAAAGGACACACAGTCCAAATCTCCACCAGGCTTAACTCCCCAGTTCTAAAGGACACACAGTCCAACTGAAATTGCTACACAGGCAATTTCTCCCCTTGTAAATGTTTCAACGAGTACCTTAGCTTGGTTTCAAGCTTACTTAGGCTCTGATAACGTAGTAAAAAATTAGAGTCTCAATTAACTGATCTATATTAAGTAGTTCATATTACATTTTGTTTTTTTACAGGGTTAAAGAGAACTGTTGCGAATCGTAGACTTACATATTTTTTGCGTGGAAAAAATACAATATAAAAGTTTTTTTAAATATCATAATTAATTCCGACACGGAAAAAACCTTTACCTTCTAGAGTTGTCTGCTGACTAGACAGTATAGATTGACGTACACAAGCTAATTTTAAATAAATAATTAGATGATTAACCAGTACAAGTATAATTATATCAAGGATACTTGCGTGATTTATTCATATAAAATATGTGTTTACAGTATACTAATCTATACTTCTTTAGCCCTATTTATGATGATAACCCAGGGAATAAGAATAAAGAGAAGGGAAATAGCGCTGGTCTGACATGAGAAAGCCATTTGCATTGCTTTGCAGACGAGTTCCTTATTACACACGCACACTCTTTTGGTAAAGACAGTCAAGGGTGAGTAAAAAAAAGTGTGATTTGCGGCGCCTGGTGCAAAATTGTACCTTTTTTGTGCAACTCTCCTGTATGATGTTTTTTCAATATTTTTTGAAAATTTGTAATATTTATTGGTACTTCAATGGCCCAAAAAAATCCGCGAACCTTTTTTCTCTCAAAATCAAAAGTTCAGAAAAGCAAAAATGTGTAAATAAATTGTTTCTATCGAAATCTGACCTTTTAAAAAGATTGAATCACAGAATCTCAGAAAATTTGCAAAGTTGTAACTAGAAAATTCGCAATTTTCAAAACGGGTATAATTTTGACGGAAAAATTGTTTTTCAATGGTTCTTGAGGTTTCAACTGAACAGCGTATAATAAATAATCATGAATACTAAGAAGAAAAGAACTAGAGAATTTAAATAACTTTTCCTTAACAATAAGACCAGAACTAAAAATTGCGAATTTTCTTATTACAATTTTGCAATTTTTCTGTGATTCTTTGATTCAATCTTCAAATATTTTAGATTTCGATAGAAATAATTTATATAAACATTTTTACTTTTCTGAACTTTTCTCAAACAAATATGACGACATGAACCTCTTAACACTAAACAGGCTTTTTTTTGACTTTTCATAAATAGAAATTTAAAGAATTTTTTTGTAAATTTTTTTTATGCATAAGGTAGGGTGCAGGGCGGTAAAAAAACCGAAGTATGTAAAAAAAATCTTAAATAGCCCATAACTTTTTTATGACGAAAGCTACAGATCTGAAAACTATATTTTTGAAAAGCCCTTGAAAAATGGGTGTAGAAACATGTGTCATACTTTGATATTTGTTTTTAACAAAAAAAATATTTTTTACATTTTTTTCGACCCTCCCTAGCACTTTAAAGGTTATCGATCTAATTTTATTTTAATGAGCTGGCCTTGAAAAATTTGGCTATGAAAATGCATTTAAACCCTATGCCTATTCGCTAAGGCCTTTTTGTAAGGGGGGGGGGCGTGAGACGACCCCCCTGTCTATACATAGCCATGTACAATTTTTTGGTATTTTGAAAACTCACAATTTTACAAGAAGAATTGTTGTTACACTTTTTCACGATGCAATATTAAGTCCTACTTTTATTAAAATAAACAAACAACTGAACTTGAATGTACTGCAGTATACAATCATGTGTTTACAATCCATATTAAGTGTCTATCTAATTATCAATACTAATATTCAAATATCTACATAAAACTACCCCTTAGAAATACGATCACTCTATATACAAGTGTACAACGTTAGATACGTAAACATATCGTGATGTACACAACCGACCTGTCTATTATTTAATTAATAGGGAGGTCGGTTGTACGTGTACATCTGAGCTAAGCTTCACCTCTTCGTTTTATTATTCTATGGTTAAACCAGAATCAACTTAAAGTAAATAAATATGCAGTACGCTCTCGGTATAGTTTATGGCCAGGGAGTAAGGAATAGAAGGGAGATATAACTGACGCGGTTCGCCCTACCATTTGCAGACGAGTACTCCATTTGTATATGAAGTATTTGTCTGATGTACATTTACTGCGTATAGAATAACCTATTTTGAATATTTCATATACAAATGGAGTACTCGTCTGCAAAGCATGTATAATCATATGGTAGGGCGAACCGCGTCAGTTATAACTCCCTTCTATTCCTTACTCCCTGTTTATGGCCTATACAATTAGTAAAGGATTAGCGTACATCATCACTCTATACACTATAACCTCGTTGATCCTAGTTTATTGGAAATGGACACTATTAGGCCTGTTAATGGATTGGTTGGGAAGAATGAGTATTGTGAACATGAATTACACTGTGTAATGCGGGGATACAGCATAATATTGATCTAGGATTTACAACATTGAAGAACTGTAGAAGGTCCTCCTCCTAATAATGTGGAGGGGAATTTTAATAATCTTGATTTCTTCCGCTTGCGCCTGAAGACTGTAACAAGTAAACAATGGAATAAGTTTATTTGCAGTTATAAAGATAAGTTTGACAGCTGTTCTCTCAGGACTTGTGTTCTGCAGGTTTTCAGCTATTTGAATATTTAAAGGGAGTGACCGGCTAAGTAAGGTAGTTGAACTGAGTATGCAGTGTTGTGGAAAACTTTTTTCGGATTCATTTTAACGATCTGTAAATCCTGAGTTTCAGCGTAAATTCGACGTTCAAAACTCCTACTTTGGGGGGGGTACGTTTTCAGAATTAGTTTTATGAATTATTAAATAACGACGACATGAAATGTAAAAAAGTTCTACAATAAACTACAGACGTCGTGTATAGGAACGTGTTGAAAAAATAAAAATCAATCTTATCATCGAAAATAAGTAATCTTGTTCAATTATTAGTTTCTGTTTTCTCATTATTCTGGTTTCTCCTTATTCACAAATTTTTTTGCAGGTTTCTAGAATTATTATTGAAAAGACGACATTTGAAAAATTCGAAGAAATCTGGGAATAAATCCAAAGAGAATAAGAAATTCAATTTAATAATGAAAAACAAATAATCGATTTCTTTTGAGAAATATGTTCTTAACCATCAAATTAGATTACTGTATGATTTTTACTTTATTTTCCTTGTTTTGCTTTGGTTAACACTTTCCTATTTATGTGTTGATATATATTTTGCTAATTTATAAGATTTGATATATATTTTGGGAAAAGCTTGTTGGAAAAAATTTTTGTTTAAGAAAAAAAACTTTAATTTTTAGGCATTTGAAAATATTGCTTAGTACAAATGACAAAGCTCACGGTTGGTTGGGGTTAATTCCTACCAATTAATATGCTTGTAGAATGATAATTTTTTAACGAATCATTTATCATGTTAAGAATATTATATTGACGTCAATCTAGTCCACAACCAATAAATAATTAGAGTCATCAATCACTCCAGTATCACACAATTTAGAATATACAGATTACAGAACCCTTTTTAAAGGGACTGTTTCCGTCCATTTTACAAAATGTTTTAAGAATGTTGAGAATAAAATGCAAGAGTGTGTGGGTTCTAAGAAAAATCTACAAAACCAACTTTTTTTTTTAAAGAATGCTTTTCCCTAATTAGATTAAATTAAGTTTCATGGTGTTGCCCCCCCCCTCCTCTCGGGGGGTTGCGTGAAGACTTGCCAAGAATTTTTAGCTTCAGGAGAACCGTTGAAAAATGCAATCCTTCAGAGCTTTTCGCTTTGTCATATTTTGACAAAGGGTGTCTAACAAGTGAACAAATCGGGTTTTTGATAACTCAGCAACCTGTTAATAAATATTTTTTGTCTTTCTCCAGGTGTATGCAAAAATTTTGGATTCCTACAATTTTTCTTTAACTTTAAACATGTTTTTGCACAATTTTGAAAAAGATGGTTTATAGCGTATAACATTTTAGAACTTATTTTCTTGTTAAATCTATTTTATTTTCCCCCGATTGTTTTACGTTTCTTTTCAATTGTGCATGGGTGTGCAGAAAATCTTAAAAACTAAGAAATTTATTTTTAGGTTTAAACTCTTGTCATATTGTTTACATACATATATGATAATTACATTTTTATAAATATTTTCAATTTTTTAAAACTTTTTTATTTTTTGAGGGTCTGAACTTTTTTGATGAGATCATCTGCTCCAAGGTCCTGAAACAAAAAAATTATGAAAATTTCGGAAAATCGGAAGAAAAAATGCTAATTTATAAAGTTTTAATTTGAAAAAATAATAATTTTAAGGAGACAAATGACCAGAAATAATATTTAATATATAATAAATAATATTTTCAACGACGTTAATAAATTAATAAATAAGGATACTAAAAACACCAATATTACAGGGGGTCCTTGAAAACAGAACAATCGGAAGACAATTTGAAAATCGTCTGTTATGTTTGTAATAAATTGCGGCATTTCTTCATCAGTCTAGTTCTAGAAGTAAATGTGGTCTGCCATGTTTGTGCCGTCCAAACTACCAGATTTAGACAATGTTTGTTTTGGTAGTTGTAATTGTAAGGGAATTGTAATTTGGTATTGAAATTGTAGTTGTAATTGTAATTTGGTATTGTAATTGTAGTTGTAATTGGAAGTGTAAGCGTAATTTCAAGTGACCATTCATTAAAAGATGGCAATGCCTGATTAATAATGGTACTTCTTAAATATTTGATCAATTAGATAATGAAATACATGTTTTATGTTTGTGGTTTCTCTGCAAAAGTGACTTGCGCATTTCTTTCATTCATAAATCACCGACATGAAAACTTTTGAGTCAAAAAAAACTATGTCATCTTACTAATTTTTGGTCATATTAAAGGGACTGCAAAGGAAAAATAAAAGGGGGTATAGGCTGATAATATTATTAAACGTCCGTATTACATAACCAGAGCTTCCACCGATGGTCTCGTAATTAAGACAGAGACATGCGACAACGATACTGCCATTGGTGGGAGTTTTTATCACGCAATACAGACTATACATAATAATATTATCATATAGCGATGAATAAATGACCAAATACACGAACAAGTGTTTATTAAGTATAACTGACAACACGAGTAAGAAAATTTATAAATATATATTTGGTTTGGAATTCAAAGCTTGCGAACTGGAAGACTATATTTATGGATCTCCACAGGGGTCCCTCCAGTGCAGATCCAGAATCCAGAAAATTAAATGGATCCTGACTCCTGAGAATATCAACGCGAATGAAACACACATTTATTTTCGCTCTGCACAAACTGTCGAACATACCTAACTTCTGGAGGAATAAAGTTTAATCAAAAGAGGGGGGGGGGAATAATTTATTTAAAAATAAACACCCCAGCTCTTATCTATCATTTTTCTTGGGACACACTGTACTGTACCTGTGTTATCCATGATGGAATACTTGTACTCGGCAAACTTTAAAAAATACCTTTATTAATTTCTTATTCAAATTCCTTACAAATGAACAATGCAAAACTGAAAAACAGAGCATATGAGAAAAAAAATAAAAAATGAATAAATATATGTAATATGTAAACAGAAGACACTTCAAAAAATGCTTCAACTCAGAATTTCTTTTGAAATTATTTGAGGCTTAAATCTCCCCCCCCCCCCTCCCCGGTACATCATCTCTGGATTGACGCATTCAACATCTCGGAACAAAACCTTTTAGATTATAACTTAAAATTTCTCTCTCATTTTTAACATTTTAACTTTGTTTTACAGGATCTTTTATTTTGATTTCAACAGCAACATTAAAATGGCCATCCTGGGTTTCTCGAAGTTTTCCTTGTACAAGTATACAAGTTTTCCTTGTACATGTAAACAAGTTAAATCCTTATAACATTGATTTTTTTCAACAAAAATTTTAAATATTATAAATGAAAGATAATTTTAAATTACTAAAAAAAATATTAAAAACTTCCTAAAAAGTTTAATAGAACGAAAACTGTGATTTTTAGTAAAACTTTCAGAGGGCGGACTGGACATGACTAGTATTGTGTAGCTTACTTAATAAATGGATTCCAAAATAAAAAATGAATAAATAAACAAATTACTAAATAAATGAATTCCTAAATAATTGAATTCCTAATCAAATGAATTCCTAAATAAATGAATTACTAAATAAATGAATTCCTAGATAAATGAATTAATAAATAAATGAATTCCTAATTAAATGAATTCCTAAATAAATGAATTCCTAAATAAAATTACTAAATAAATGAATTACTAAATAAATTAATTCCTAAATAAATGAATTCCTAAATAAAATTACTAAATAAATGAATTACTAAATAAATGAATTCCTAAATAAATGAATTCCTAAATAAATGAATTCCTAAATAAATGAATTCCTAAATAAATGAATTCCTAAATGAATGAATTCCTAAATAAATGAATTCCAAAATAAATGAATTACTAAATAAATGAATTCCTAAATAAATGAATTAATAAATAAATTAATTCCTAATTAAATGAATTCCTAAATAAATAAATTCCTAAATAAATGAATTAATAAATAAAAGTATTCCTAAAGCTCGACATAATATTTTTGATCGTCTCCACCTTCTCTCCATCCATCTCTATCTGTCTATCTGTCTGTCCATCAGGGTTTCTGTCTGTGTCTGCCCAGATTTGAATTCTTTCAAAGCTTTCTTCAGCTGTCTGTCGGAACACGGATTCACTAGAATTAAAAATAAATAAATTAAATGCAAAATAGTTTATTTATAAAAACTGTGTTTAATATGGTGTTTGTTTGTTTAATTGTGTCCAAAAAACGACAAAACTTACCGATCCGGCCCAAATTTTGAATATAATCCCAGGGAAGGTATATGGTACATAGAATATGTATGGTCAGAATTGAAAAAATATGCCACCGAAACATTTAAATTTTCGTAAAAAATTCTAAAATCCATGAAAATAAATTATTCAGTTTAGTATTGTTTTATAATGTACGAAGAGATAGAGGAACAATTAAAAGTTGAATAGAATATGGCGCAATTGGCGCATAAATTATAAAAAGAAAAAATCTGTTAACAAATTTGAAAAGTAAACGAAGTTCAGTTGTTCTGCGTAGCTAAATACCTGATTAGGTTTTGTACATCAGGGGACAGATTCTCCTGTACACTCTAAACAGAATATAGTTACAACCAAGGTTGTAATGCAAGGAAAGTTAATTGCAGTTGCGTATACTCTGCGTACATATTGAAACCAGTTCTCTCTGCGCGGAATTTGTTAACAAGAATAGGTGCATCAGTGTTCGTTTAGTATCCGAGTAGGTTAAAAGCATTAAATTTTGTTAGTTTTGATAATTAACATAATAGTTTCCTATGACCAGAATATTTCATTGATTTTTTTATGTGAAATATGGATCCCATGTCAGGCTTCGACATCCATCTTATGTTTACATTACCGTCAGAGACAGTATACTGCAGTCCAAAAGATGCGTACACCTCTGAGATAACTTTTCTTATAACCAAGATTAAGAGTGGAACTAAATAAATTTACAAAATCATCCAACATGTGCCAAGCTCATAAGGTTCAGGGTTAATAGTTTGCTTAAATATAAACTGGACAAAGGTTAACAGCGACAAAAGATAAAGCCAAAGAGGTGGGTTAAATTTATTTTATTAATTTACTTCTTATTTCGGAGAGAACTTGTTTTAAAATTTTATCAAAGCAAAATGAGGAACATGATCTATGCTGTACCCTGTACCTGTGTCCTGGTCCGTGTACCGTGAAATGTTTACCTGTACCGTAACCGTGTACATGTGCCGTGTATGGTGTACCATGTACCTGTGCTTATGCTACAAGTGCTTGAACTTTATCCTGTACCATGTACCGTAACGNAGTGCTTGAACTTGATCCTGTACCTGTACCTGTGCTTGTGCTACAAGTGCTTGAACTTGATCCTGTATAGATAAACTAGATAATCCATCCTCATCTTCATCCTCTGAGTCAGGTCTAACAGTTCCATCCTAAAATTAAAGGGAATGTTCACAAACAATGAAATGGGGTCTCCACCCGAATTAACCCATTAGTAACGAGACCATTAACTATTAGTGAAGTTGTTTTAGAAGGATCTTGTCAAAACAAAACTTGAATGTACTCATGAAAAAACGATGTTCAATTAAATTTTTGATTTTTTTTTGTACAGGGTGACCTGTAAAACATGAATATATAAAAAAATTTGGTAATTCATAATTATTTAATGATCTTCAAAACTTTACTTTTCATGTTTTAGGTATTTAGATCTTTAAAAGAAGATTCCAAAAATATCTTTAAATTTTTTCTTTTGGTTTTTTTCCAAATTCAAAATCTTGTTTTTTTCGGTTTTTTAAAAATTGAAAATTTAATAGAAACCCCAATTTTGAAGTTACGTCAAATATAAAATATGTTTTGAAAACAGTGAATCCTAACGAAAGCGCAGGAAAAGACAGGACAACATTTAGTTTACTAAAAAAGGCACTTAAACAAATATTTGTACTAGTTACTTAGCAAAGCACTATTTAAGTGAAATGGGTCTATTTACACTGTACAATTGCTATGTCTAATGTTCATTGAACTAGTTAATACTAACTTTAGTTTAAAAGTCGTCTTCCTATTTCATTGTTTGAATTGTTTAATCTACAATTTATCAAATAAATCTTACAATTCTTACAATTTTTACATTATTCAAGCATCAAATGAAAAATATCGATACCATTCAATCCCAAATTCAACTAGGGTTTAACCTATAACCCCCTGAAAATTTTAGCGACTTCAAACTAACATTTTTCCTGACATTTTCCCCAAATAAAAACAATTTGTGTATTTTCCTCAAAAAGTGAGAAAAAACCTGGACAAACTGTGTATTTAATGTTACCTGTCCTACGAGATAATATTCGTACCCTGTCCCTTGAAATTCATCACTTCCATCCGACTCATCTGTTGCCACATCCCCTCTATCCTGCAGAGTAAACAGGAAAATTAACTTTGTTTATTTTTAATCTATACATAGACTTTGCTTGTTGTGGTTAGAGAGCAACAAGTTCAGAGGCGAAGTCAGGGGGGGGGTTATGGGGGCAAAGCCCCCCCAGACTAGTGCAATTTCAGGCCCCAACAGGTGCTGTCCCCCCTATGGAAAGAAAAAAATTAAGCCCCTCCTCCCCTTGAATTACTAAATAAATGAATTCCTAAATAAATGAATTCCTAAATANGCCCCAACAGGTGCTGTCCCCCCTATGGAAAGAAAAAAATTAAGCCCCTCCTCCCCTTGACAAAATCCTGACTACACCTCTGATTACAAGTTTTAATACATCATTTTCCCCCGTAGATGTATTCATGCCAACTTATTGTATTTATTGATAAAAGAACATCTTAAAAAGTTCTTTTTTTACAGGGATGCGACTTTTCTGATATTTTTTTCTCTTACTAATCTATATAATAAAGCTCTTCGCTCATGTATATACATGTTTATATATATAATCTATAGCTGGCCTAACGGCTCGACCGAATAGGCTGATTTCTCATTTTTACTTCGTCTTTGCTAAATTTATTAAAATATAAATTGTATAACAATTTATATTTTCTAAATGTGGGTTCTCTGTTAAAGGGACAGACCGGCTATTTAAGGTAGTTAAAGTGAGTATGCAGTGTTGTGGACAAGTTCTTTAGGATTCATTTGAGACATATTAAAACTTTTCCACAATGAGTTTGAGTGCATAGTCGACGTTCAAAATAATGAATTTGAATGGGAACGTTTACAGAACCGGTTTTCAAAATTTATGAAATAACGACGACGAAAAATAAAGAAAAAATTTTACAGTAAACTAATTAATGGCTAGGAACATATTTCTCAAAGAAATTTGCAATAAATCAGTGCTAGAATCGATTATTTCGTTTTCATCATTATATTGAATTTCTTATTGCTATGTATTTATTCGCAGATTTCTACAAATTCTTCAAATGTCGCCTTTTCAATAATAATTCCAGAAGATCTGCAGAAAATCTTTGTGAATAAACAGAAACTAGAATAATGAGAAAATAGAAACTATTATTTGACCAAGATTACCTGTTATCGATGATAAGATTAATTTTTATTTCCTCAACCTGTTCCTAAACAACTAATTAGTTTACTGTAACATTTTGTTTACATTTTTTGTCGTCGTTATTTAAGAATTAAAAAAAACAATTCTGAAAACGTATCCACCCAAAAGTACGATTTAGAACGTCGACTTTGCGCTCAAAATCAGGATTACAGATTTTTAAAAGTTCTATTTGTCTCAAATGAATCCTGAAGAATTTGTCCACAACACTGCATACTCAGTTAAAAAAAATTACTTGCGGATTTTTTGAATCAGAGACAAAATAATTCAAATTTTCAGATAAACAACGATATCATACTCTAGTTTCTCAGATAGAGATTTAAACCCTTCGTGAATCTGATATGTCACTTTTTAAATAGAAAATTACGACCATAGAGAGCTTTAGAGAATGGCCGATAATACAAATATGACCGTTTACATACAAAACTCAGACAATTCCAACCAAATACAGGTTTACCCAAATATAGGTTTACCCAAATACAGGTTTACCTAAATACAGGTTTACCCAAATATAGGTTTACCCAAATATAGGTTTACCCAAATATAGGTTTACCCAAATATAGGTTTACCCAAATAGATTCTAGTATACAATAAATGGCAAACTAGAATTTGTAAACTCTCAGTAGAGGTGTATTCTTACGTCACTAGTGTCACCTCAGTTTTTGTGTCCGACAAAATTATCAATAATAGTGATAATTTTAGAATAAAGTGCTTATCTTACAGTAAAATAATGTAATTTCTGTGTTTACACTTTTTTATTTAGTCTTAAAAAATATGTTAACTAATGCGAGAAAATTTCGTTTTCCTCGTTATATTTGACACTTGTGACGTCGTGTATAATTGGTTCATTTCTCTGTTGCCACTTAATCTAATTGTGTTTACCGATAAATTTTGAAAATCCTCTAATTTATGTTCTTACTTGGGGTAGAACTGTATCTGGTTTGGGATCAGGAGATTGGCGCATTCTCTCCGGGACATCCGGTTTGGGAGACATTTTGTAATCTCTGGAATATTATAATAATTACAACCCTAGCCTTCACATGATCTGAAAACATAATTTTAACAAAAAAACAAAAATGTTTAATATTTTTATTTTTGTATACGGAATGTCATCGATAAAAACTTACATAATCAACAAATGCTTTAAATACCATTTTATCACCTGGGGATTTTTTATACATTTAAAATCATGTTTTGTGAAAAATTTTCGCAATTTTAATTTTCGCACAATAAAGACAATATGCGTACTTTTTACACATTAAGGTTAAAATCAAGTTGACAATATATAATAAAGAGTTAAGAAAAATGGCCTTTTCCTTCATCAAATTAACAAAAATAATCCCGCAACGGAATGAGTACGTATTATCCAGTAACTCTCCAATTTAGAGTGGAATTTCCGGTTCCTGATTAAGAAGGATGCAAATATTATTTTTGTTCCCTTAGAAAACTGATTTATTTTCAATTATGAATTATGAATTGGCATTTTTGCTGCAGAAAAAAGGATGAATTATCAGAATTAAATACTTTAAGTTAGAACTTTAGAAGATCTTCCAAATTATTGATGAGAAAGGTTAAAAGGATAGAGCTGTGAATATGAAGGGTTGAAATTACAACCATCTGTCTCTTCAAACTTAATAAATAACAAACCCCTAAGGAGAAACGAATTGTATATGACAAGACACACCTAATCATATGATATAAATATTAATTATTGCATATTAATAATTTCGAATAGTTTTTCAGTTCCATGGAAGCTTTTATACTTTGTAGGTCGAATATTGTTACTTTAACACATACGAATAAATTTAGAGTTTATGTTATTTTAACAACAGCACATAACAAAAATGAAGACACCACCAATCACCATTATGATATAGTATAAAAAGACGACATTCGTAATATTCTTCCAGTCTACTTCATCAAAGCACTAACCACAGCCTAAATTAATTAATACATAAATTAATAAAAATATCTACATTGCCCTGAAAATAAGAAATAAAATATGACAGATCC